TTTGCAATTAAACTTTCATATTTAATTATTGTTTTTTCGCGTGTAAATATTGCAGTATTAATCATCTGAATGCGGTCGTGTGGATTGGCTGATGAAAATATTTTTGTTGTTTTGAATTTTATGGGGTAATAAAAAACATTTTTCTGTTTGTTTTTTTTGCGGATCTTGTCTCGCGAGTTTGACGCCAAAAATTTAATTGGAATTTCAACTTTAAGTTAGGATATTTGAGTGTTCTATGATGTTTCATTAAAGGATATGGAATTGTCAATTTTTTTCTGAATTACCTCTTTATCTAATAGTGGAACTGATAAGGCGCTTAATTTTTACAAAGTTCGTGCTGCTGATGTCCATAGGAGTATTGCTCGTGACATGTCATTTTCATTAAGTTATAAACACACGAACTAATAGACAGAAAATCAAAACATGGCTACAAGTCTTCCTTTCATCGTTAATATACGCCAAATAAAATTTGTTCCACGTTTTTTTAAAATTTATTATTTTCTGTCGCAATATTTTCATGATCGTCTTTGTTTATACTTTTTCCACGTTCAGGGTCAAGTCAAATTCTCTAAAGCTTAGAAAAAAAATGTAAAAATATAAATAGTCAGTTCATCTTCAGTTAATTCTTTCTGTGTCGATAATTTAAAATTATGTAAATAAAGACCTAGAGTAAAATGAAGGATCTCTGTCTGCATTGATGAATTGATTGGAATAAAAATAAATTTTCAAATTCCCGAACGGAACTCATCAATTTTAAAAATATATTCGCACAAAAAACAAAATCCTGTAAATATTTTCATCCCAATGGCGTCAATTTCTATAAAGTCATCAATTTAAATATTTGTTTGATCTTATTTAATTTATTGCCATCCATTTGTATCAACGGAGCTCAATAAAATGATCCTTTACGCAATGTTTCTGCCTCACTCAGATTTATGTTTTTTTACAAAATAAATTTTATAGTAACAAGAAAATATCATTTGTTTAGGTGAATTATAGGTCAATGTGACTCGAAAAAACCTTTTTTCATTCATAAATAAAACTATTTTTTATGTTCACGCGCATTTCCAATTCGCCAAAATTTGACATCAATTTTAAAATTTATTAAATTATTTTACTTGCTGTAGAGAAAGCAGCATGCTAAAAGCATTAATGATGATGATTGATGCGAAATTGAATGAAATCTCATTTAGGAATTGAATTAGTCGTAAATTTAGGAAGGATGCGAGTCAAAAGAAATTTCCTTATTTAATGCTTTATTTTGAAAGTATTTTTTTCATGACTTTAAGAGCTGGATCTTCAAGATGATTGTAAATTATTTTCGGAAATTACTTTAAATTGCAAAAACAAATTTACAGACGTGCTGGAAATTTTTCTTTTCATCCATCGACTGATTTTTGGAGTGGATGTTGTTGAGGGGTTGGGAAAGTGTTTTGATATAAATTATGAATAAGTTCTTGGAAAATCGGATCAGTTTATTTTTGAGGTTATAAATAGAAATATGATTAACTTATGCAAATATTGGCTTATTCCAAACCTTAATTTAAGATCTAGGCCGATTCAGAAAGATGTTTAGGTAAGGATACAAGAAAGGACATGAATTTGAATTGAAAGCAACTTCTAGATTTGCTCTGCCTTAAAACATCCCTCTAAGATAAATTCATAACCCCCGTTTCTCCCTCCATAAAATGAAAATTTAATTACAGTATTTGAATATAATTTTTTTTTCTCACAAAATAAGTTGACACTCATCGATTGAATGAAGACGAGTGAAAAGAGAAAATTGAAAAATTTGTTCATACATTTGAACAGCTGAGGGCTTCTCGATAGCAATTGATTTTAAATTAATTTTATTTCTGTCTGCTTGTGCGAATACACAGATGGATCGCAATCATGACGCTCTAAATTACATAAAATTGAATTTATACGAAGATTTTTTTTATATTCAGCTAGTATCACATTAGGTAGTCTCTTGAACTTGACAATATTCTTTGAGTGGCAGTCAAATTAATTCATTAAAGGAAATTTTGTTTGCGAAAATTCAATTATTAAGGCAGCTTTTTTTTGCTACACAGCCGTTGTGCAAAATTGTAGATTCAAAATTAATTACTTCCTCTGAATTAATTGAAGTAGCTGTCATGATGATTTTTTTATGAGGCAATGAAATTCTATTAATTATGTTCACAGACACGAGCAGTATCGATTAGGTTTGAATAATTCTACGAAAAATGTCTTACATCCCCCCAAACTTAAGTGTCAATGCTCATTACATGTTATCTTATAGAATCTAAATTGACACATTATTCGTATATATTTTCATACGATGGTAAATAGGCTTATAAAAATGGCAATAATCTTTACTCAATGGCAAATTATTTCAATTTTAATCCTCTATAAGACGCAACGTTCTTGCCACAAACGACGATGATACACACGTAGACACTTTTCTACCTCAACAAAACACTTTGTCATCCAATCGTATCATCATCATCATCTTCATTTTCATATATATCCTCAACATTATCGTCATCATACTGACATCGTCTAAATGTAAACACGAGAGTGTTATTTATTAGTTAAATAGATGATAGATAGAAAGAATGAAAAATGTCAGTGAATGAATTGAAAGGAAATTCCTCTGTTGTCGTGTGCGCACATATTAGAATCGTTAAAGCGTATAAATACCATTTACCTTCACCTTCAAACGCTCTCTTCATTTTCTATTTCTTAGCTTTTTTTTTTTTCAAAAAAAAAGAAAGTAAAGTAAGATGTAAGTGACATCGTAAAAATGATATTTACACACAATAGAATATTTTCTTCATAGTGAATAGAATGCTTTTAATGTTAGTAGTATGCACGATGAATGACAATAAGATGGAAAGAAAGGAGGAAGAAAATATTGAAACTTATGTTGCGGAAAATTGACTTATATACGATGTGATGCTAATAAGCTTTAAAGTTAAACGATGAATAAAGTGTGAATGATACTTATAATTGAAATTATAAAGTTATTAGATGTAAGCTCGATAAATATTGTTTGTAAGTTTTAATGTGGCTTTGTCATGAGGAAATAATCCTTTGAATTAATTCAAAAATGCTTTGTAGTTTAATTAAATTATTTTTTTACTCATTTCCCTCTGTTTCTTCCCTAACAAAGCACGAGAAACATTGAATTAATTAAAAAATCCCTCAAAACTGAATTTTTTGCCTCATTTTCCGCACCAGCTGCATTAAAGCAATGCTTCGCTTCAATTCAAATTTTAAAGCAATGCCTCACTTAAATTTCTGTTGCAAAAATTATATTTTCCGTATTTTCTTCTTTTTTAGCGCATTTTTGAAATTTGTTTCGAAAAGGAAGCTTAATATGTCGCTTTGTTCGTTCGTTCGGGCGGAGAAAAACTTTTTAACTAGACATCGTAGAGAAATCTAGTTTGTTTTATTAGCTCAGGTCCATTTTTTTATTTTCGGGAAACGCATTTAAAAGTCCTGAAACAGTCTTTTTGTCCTATAATTAATGATTTTTATATTTCATATGAAAAAACACGTGATGAGAGCGTTTAGAAATTCGAATTTATTTCTACCGTTGAAAATTTTGAATCTCAAAAAACCGTTAAATGATAAACTTTTTATATATGGAAATTTATTGAAACAAATTATTTAATTATACTATAACTGTTTTTGTAGTGCAACTTATAGCGGAAAATTTCAAATTATTTTTTGACCGGTAAATAATAAAGCCTTTCTATATAAGCATTCATTGTAATTATTTGCTTATTGCACTAAAATTAATGATCTTCTAATGAACGCAAAATAAATAGATAATCAAATACTGATCGCTAACACAAAAATGCGCTTAAGTCCCTCGATCAACAAAACGAGGACTTCTGTAATTTTTTATTATTAACCTTAAATTTAATTTGACTATTAACCCACAATTTTCTCTAATTTATGTTTCTCTTCTTCGCTTCTTATAGTCATCATGTTCACACATCGATTCGCTTGTAAAATGTCATCTCCGTAGAACATTTAAATTTGTATGGCAAAAAAGAGAAAATTGTGTGAAAAAAGCAATCATGTGGTGAAAAAAATGTTAAGGACGCCATTAAATTGATCGCTTTAGTGAAGAAAATATATGTTTACCGTACCTGACCTTCATTAAAAATAAGAAAAGATTTGATGTCGTTGCTCATTTGATTTATTGAATTCCTTCACCTGTTGCAAGTTACTCATATTTTTAGCGAGACTATTGCTATGTAGATTGTGAACTTCGGAATTAAGAGACGACCACATCATCTGGGCAGCGCCATTAATCTACATTTTTGTTTTTCATTTACACTTTTAATCACCTTTCTTTCTTCGTACCCGGTATTTTATTTTTATGTGAATAATTTGTGAAAAGTATGAAGGAACCCGAATGGAATTTGATGCGCATTTTAAGATGATACTGATTAAAAACTTGTAACGTATAAAGAAAATTCAAATAATTTGACGCGAAAAGAGATGCAAATAAATTTTACGTACGTTTTTTACGTAAAGATACGTAAAACTATAAAAAAACAAGCAATAAAGCTTTAAAAGGATTAAAAAAGAATAAGATTAGTCACGAAACATAGTTTATTATTCGTTTATTAGTTTTAAAGTCGAGTGTTATCTCAATATACCTGAGGGGTCGGTCACTTATGACATCCATCAAAAAACCTGATTTTTAGAACCCCCCCCCCCCTCTGTCACAAAAATTCTATAGAAAAAAAATTCTATGTTTGAACTGTCACACATAAAATTTGCCGAATCAACCAAATCGACATCAAAAAAACATCCAATTACTATTAAACAATGCTTAAATATTTTTCTTGTCCCCACAGAAAGTAAATTTAATTTAAGGTATTTTCTTTCTGTCGCTTACTCACTCGACGTTTATTTTTAAAACCGAAAATAAAAAAAGATGAAAATTTTCTGCTACTGAATCACCGCATTAAATTAAATTTCTCTTTCTCTTACAGAAATTGAGCCGCAATTTCCCTATCGTCAAGTGAACATAAAGCGTGGTGAAGACATCAAGGAATATTTTGATTTGTGTGAGGAAATTGGGAGGTAAATATCTTGCCTTTAGGGACCGTTTAGTTGTAACAGCGATTGCATTCAACACAAATATTCAACCTTTGATCTTATTCCGAAAAATCATTTTAGGGGCAAATTTGGCACAGTTTACAAATGCAAAGAGAAATCAACAAAACTCTGTTTAGCGTCAAAATTCATTGCCGTACCAAACAGAAAAGAGCGTAAAAATGTTGAACGTGAATTGGACATGATGAATCGTTTGCATCATCCCAGAATTATTCAACTGTACGATGCCTACGAGTATGATAAAATGGTCTGCGTAGTTTTAGAATTGTGAGTATATATAAATGTTTTTTTGCTGTGGATGAACACAGCAGGTTGTGTAAACAAATGTGGTCTGTGATTCACGTGAACTTGATTTTAATCATTGGATTAAATCCATTCTGTACTGACATTATCCTAACCTCATTATTTTCCAGAATTGATGGTGGTGAACTCTTTGATCGTGTCCTTGATGACAAATTCCTCCTGACAGAAAAAGCCTGCTCTATTTTCATGCGTCAGATTTGCGAAGCAATGGAATACATTCATGATCAAAACATTATCCATTTAGACTTGAAGCCTGAAAATATTTTATGTCTATCAGAATCGGGAAATCGAATAAAGCTTATTGATTTTGGGCTGAGTCGTGAATACGATCCGACATCGAAATTACAAGTGCTTTTTGGGACACCAGAGGTGAGATATCCAGATTGTTCCTTTGTTGAGAGGAAAAATTGAATTTACTGTTCATATATTAAATTATTTTCATTACTCTACAATACAGTTCGTTGCCCCCGAAGTTGTGAACTTTGATGCAATAACATTTGCGACCGATATGTGGTCTGTTGGAGTTATTGCGTACGTTCTGTAAGTATAAATCATTTTGTGCAGTAAAATTGATTTTAATTTAATTCGATTTTTGGGGCATGGGTTTATAGTAAGCGGGAATGGTAGTCTCAAAGCAGAATAAATATTTAATTTAATCTCTACTGTTTTTTTCAATTTCATAAACAAAATTCCCTCTTCAAATCACGAAAATGCATCACATAGTGTGAGTGGACTGTCTCCATTCGCTGGAGAATGTGATGTAGAGACGATGGGTAATGTGACGGTTGGCAAATACGATTTCAATGATGAAGCATTCGATAATGTATCACAAGATTGCATAGATTTTGTAACAAAATTACTAGTAAAGGGACAAGACGATAGAATGACAGCAAAGCAAGCCCTAAGACATAGATGGATTAAAAAGAGGCCACAGTATCATCCGACAAATCCCAAACCATCTAATCCACTCGAATTCAAAGCTGTTTATATGGATAAAGTAAGTTAAATGGAAATGAAAACTTTTTATGGCTTTCCTTACAAAGTTGTTTATTTAAATTTATTTCTTTGATGCCTCATTAAGGCGCACAATTCAAAGGCACGTGAAATAATTTTTTACGCATTTTAATCTACAATGAATGACAAAGAATTGAGGAAAGAGATGACTTTTTCTTCTCCTTTCCGAAAAATGCGTAGATTTTTGAAGATAAGCAAACATTCACTTTAATGGATATTGCTGAGCTTTACATTTAATCTAGCATTTTCCATTTTTCAACATAACCCACATAGAAATAAACTCACGTATACACACATTCTGATATTGAGTACTTATACTGAGTGTATATGCTTATATGTTTTAATTTTAATGGCAATTTTCTAAATGCGAAACATTGAAATTCACTTTCTTACTCTTGCTTACATAAAAAGCAGTCTATCTTTAGGGTGGAAGAGCGAGCAAAAAAATGTGAGAAAGTTAATGGCAAAACTTTCTAGTTAAGTGCTTTTTCAAGCTTAAATGGACGTACGATTTATGACTTTGTGTAAGTCATCAATTTCTGAATAAAAAAGTTGTTGAATCGATATTAAAGCTATTTAAAATTCAATGTGGATGAAATGTTGTCCTTCAGCTTTATATTTCTTTATTTGCTGAAATTTTAACAGTAGGGTAAAACATGTTGAAATTTGTGTGTTTTTGCACATGAAGATTTGATTTGCAAATAACTTGCTAATGACTGATAATGAAAATTTGCTAATGGGCTCAAAAGATCAATAATTGTGGGAATCTTCAGTTAATAATGTTTTTTGAAGGATATGCTGCTTATGGGAAGAGATTTTTGACATTTTCGATCAAATGTTGAAATTTGTGCGAAAAAATGTTGAAATTTGTGCGTTTTTGATAACAATCTTTGACATAATTGCAATTCTTAAATGTAAACAAACATTTTACTTATATATTTTTGGAACAGAAGTTGATATTTTTGCTGAAGGAACTATTTTGAATAAACTTTAAATGAAATTAGGAACATAAAGCTGATTTGTTTCAAACCAACCTCAAGAAATAATGCAAGATTCAAGATTTAACTCAGTTTGAGCTGGGTGAGTTTACAACCGTCAAAGGAACATCCATTAAATCAGCAATTCCTCCATTTTTTTTTTGTAAATTTTATGCAGCATAGAGTTTAAACAATAACTTATATATATACTTTTTGAATGTATGGATATTCTTGAAGTCTTTTGCATTTTTTTATTTTTATCTAAAATTTTAAATGATCCACGTTTTTCATTTTTATCAGCTGTTATCAGTTTTTGACTTTCAGTAGTTCGATTTATGCTATTCTTCGTAAAATCCTATAAAAACATGAATTTCTATATTAAACGTATATAATATTTGTTGTTGACAAAAATTCCCATCGCTTTCTACGACAAAAAGCGCACAAATTTCAAAATTTGTAAAAAAATTTCGCACAAATTTTAACATTTACAATCAAGAAATTTTAAAATCAATTTTTAAAGCACTTCCAATGATTTTTATAACTTTTGAAACAGTAAAGCAATTATCAAATTTTATATTAAAACTGTGATTTGATTACAAGCAGCACTGGTTATGTCCAAATATTTATAAATATGAAAATCACAATTTTGTATGACATTTTAAATTTTTCAAATTTTAAGCTGCTCTAAGCTTCGAGACTGTTCAAAATGATGTAAAAATGTTTGTACAACCGTTTTACACAGAGTTGCAAACAAAATTTTGGTTTAAATGGCTTATTTGAGCTGATTTCTTTTTTATGTGAGCGCACAAATTTTAACATGGTTTACCCTAAAATCAAATTTAAAATTTTCAAACTATTTATAGTTTGATAAAACTTATTCATCAAATCAAGCATTCTCAACCTTCCTCGAAGTGCAAAATCGTGTCCATTTAGGCTAATTGAAAGTGCATCAACAGAATAGAAAAGATAATCCCCTAAAAACTCGTAGGCCATAGGAATTTATTGTATAAAACTTGTGCTAAAAGCATTCAAATTAAATGCCAATCTAGACACACAGTCGAAATTAATTTCCCGGCTACTCACGAAAACAACATTTCAACTTTGTATTCGACAAACAAAAACAACATTCCTTTTAAGCAACAAATTTAATTAACGATTCATTGGATTTTGCTTTTCATTTGTTTCTCACGTATGTCTAACTCTTTTTTTTGGATAATTTCTTTCACAGGACAACACGCTGATAACAGCGAAAGACAATTTACGAAATTGTGTTGATAGATGGAATGACAGTACGCCATATGTGTTTGATAAACATTCGAATTCAATATCACCAGTGCACGCGAGCATCTCATCATCAATAGGTAAAGGCTTTTCCAGATTTTATGTGTGATGTTGATGTGATGTTGTTAAACAAAAAATGACAGCAATGTTGATAAACTGAGAAAGAAAGAATATACGCAGATATACAAATTAGCCTGCAGCAGCTCCGCAAAAATATGTATAGAAAAAGCTTCTAAAGCAATAAATAGCATGTTTTTTTTTTCTCCTACAAAAAGAGATATTTGATGTATGCACATCCTCATCATCACTATATTGCACAAACATAACACTTTAGATGCCTCATAAAAATACTTTTTTTTTTCTTCCTTTCTATCCCTTGATTTAAAATTCACATGAAAAGAAATCCAGAAAAAAAGGAGTGAGAGATGCTCTCATATAGAGATTTAATCGCTTTTGATGTTATTTTTTGCCTTTTTACTGTTCTATTAGAAACGGAGACAAAGTCTATTTAGAATTCGGTCTGAGGCAGAGATGAAAATTAATGATGAAGGTTAAGTTTTATTTTGGAGATATTAATCGATGTATCTATAGGTCAAAGTCCCTACTCAGTGTAGGTGCTGGCTTAGATAATCATAGTTCCTATGATTGTAAATGTTTTACAACCTTAATGTCTAAATTGGATGATTTTGTTGGCTCACTTTAGGGTAAAGTCTTTGACTAAGTCTGTCAGTTTTACTTCAGAACTAGTCTAGTGCAATTAAACATTCAATATTGCAGTTTGCGCCATAAAAGTTACAATCCAACAAGAATTATCAACAAAATTAATACAAAAAAACTACATTCCTTAGAAGATTAGAATACAATGTTCCATAAATTTGTGATAAAAAAAGACAATTAAGGTCCGAATTCTGTTGAGGTTATGTAACTTTTATGAATAAATTTAAAATTCAAACCAAAAACTAGACCATAAAAATCATCGATTCTCATCTCTGCCCAAAAAAAGATACAAAGATCTACTTCGATAAGGCTTTTGATGTTTACTTAATTTCGTTGACTATAATCCTGATGATGATGATGACAAAAAATCTAATCAAAAGCTTACTCAAAGACATTTTCATGTCATTTCCTTTCGCTCATTTTTTCCTGGTCATCAAACGAAAAGTTATTGCTTTGATAGGGAAGGTTATTTGATTTTTTTGATCCTATCTATCCACGACTCTATATTTTGTGAAATAAAATGAAAATTCTTTTTTTTTCTCTTTCTTTCTTTCCATAAAAAAAATCTCCAATCTATTAAAAATGCATAAAATACCAACCACAAAATGCACATAAATTCCTTTTTTATTTGTGATAACAATAAACATAAAAAAAAAAACTGGAAGAAAAAACCAAAAACATAAATTACACAGAGGATAATGAGCATAACGAAAAATTAATGACATAAAAAATATCGCTGTGCTTTTACAACTCATGTGTATAGACAACTCTATTGCATCCCTTCTCTGCTACATTGATTCCGTCTATCCTTAAATACCGCAATGTTCGCTGTGGATGTAACAAAAAGAATATCACAATAGTGCCTAACAACAATGAATTTACCATATTCTTGTAGTTTTTGTGTTTTGCGCATTTTTTTTTGGGGAAATTGAGGAGCTTTAGGTGAAAGGGAATAATGCAAAATTAGTATTTCTAAATTAAATTTTTTTAAGATAATGCCGTTAAAAATTTGGCATAACCTAAAAACATTAAATGATGTTGAACCGTTAAAATTTGAATTTTACAAAACCGTTGAAATTTGAATTTTGTAAACCCGTTAAAAATTCAAATAAGGAGATTTTATTTAAAATTTACAAAGCTAGTCTGTCACAAACTATTGTCTCAATTATCTTAAAGGAAATGCGCTGAACTTTCCTGCTCAATAACATAATGTAAACCAAAAATACTAGTTTTAAGAAGAAGTAAAAATATATGTTGCAAAAATACAATTTATGTTATACATATCAATGTACATATACAATAGAATATCTTCATGATACAAAAAGAAATAATACATATACATATCATAGTCGTACAGACTAGAATAGATAGTTTTTCTTTCGATTCCTAATAATAAATATATATATATAAAAAAAAATACTAACACATAATTTTAAATTCGGGTTGTGAAAGAAAGAGAGAAAGACGAGGAAGCAGCTTCCATTTGAATAAACTTTTTATTTTTTGAGGGTGTAAAGCGATGGCTTTTTTTCTGTGCATGTTTGTCGCTTTAACGCTTCTTTTTTCGTTTTCTTTTCCATTGCTATGATATCTAAAAAAATGTTCGTTCCTTATTTCGTAAGCGTATACTTTGCATATTCACATATATTTTGAATACATATGAAAATGCCACCAGATGTTAGATTTAATAATAAAGAACATATCTGTATAGATATGTGTATGACGAACAAAAAAGGAGCCTTTTACTTTAGCATTTTCATTTTCCTTAGAAAAAGTGCTTGATTTCGGGGAAGTGAAATCTTTGGGGTAGAGCTTTTTGAGGTTAGATTTTCAATTTTTATTGGAATTTTGAAAATATAGTCTGGTCAATGATCTAGCGTAAGGTTGGAAGGAGAGCTAATATAACTTTAATTTACTATGTTTCTAATTTGCTGATATTAATAACCTCAAAATTAAGCTTACGCTTCAAAAGTTCCCTAAAATCCAAACAAGGATCCAAAAATTTTGACTTGAAAAAGCAAAAAAAAAAAGAAATAGTTTAACCGAAGGAAGTAAGGAATATGAAAAAAACATATATTCAAAATTTTAAATCAAACAAAAAAAGGAAAAGAGATTGAAATGGGGATAGAAATAAAAAGTTGGACGACAAAATATTTTTCACACACTTTTTTATTAAAAAAACTGAGAACTTTTTTTTTCATAAAAGAAAACTTTAAAGGCAGCATTTTTTCATGCCAGAAAAAAATGCGGAAGGAAGTAAGACACACAATGAAGCCTTTTCATGACTGAGTGGAACAAGAATAGTTCTGTTTCTCAATGGACTTGAAACTTTTTGTGGGATTTTTCCCATTCAAGTTGGAAAGTTTCTTTTGTCGTTTAACTTGTTTTTTTTTTTTAATTTTAAAGAGAGGGGAGCTAGTATGACTGAATATTGCTTGCTTTAAATTACGTAAAATCCTTTGTTTGCTTAAATTCCTAACAAAAACCATCAAATCAATCAATTATATCCAACCAATTGCTTACAGATTAAGAGAATCCAATGCCTTAAACAAATTGCAAATTGTTTTATTGATTTTATTTAAAACCATATTAAAAAAAAGGCTTAATGAATATTAAATTTTTTCTTCTCATTTCATTAATCATAATCACACAGATACATCACCCACACCATCATTAAACAGCTCATCCGCAAGTTTGGCTGCAAGCGATGAAAATGATAATTCGCCCATGTCATTGCATGATAACGATAAAATCATAAATACAAATATTAACTCATCAACATTACCAAAATTACATTTAACCACAAATCAGAATGAAGCACCATCGATTGTGAGCTTAAAAGATTATTTGCACATATTGGATCGACATAAATCAATTGATAATTGCTTTCTATTGCCTTCTGGTGTTGTTGATGGTTCATACCCGTGTTATTATGATGATGAAATTAAAAAATTAACAAATCATTTATTCGAAATCACAAAAAATCATTATTCAGAAACAGAGACATCAACAACCACAACAACAAAACCAGATAACAGCAACAATCATAATGTCAATGGTAAAAATCTGTGTCTGGCATCTAATGGTATTGTTGATGATAATAACAACAAGATTGATGATAGTGAAATGGATCATCAGGCTCATGAGACGTCAATGAATGATTATGATGATAAGAGTGCGATGAGGAACAATCAGTTTACAGACATATTCAAAAAATTTACAAAACTCACCGACGATAGTTCAATTGTGAGTAATGTGCCATGGGCTGTAACAAAACGAACGAAATTTCGCATTAATCAGACGAGTAGTCGAGATGTACCAATTGTTAGAACAGAAAAGCCAGCAAAATTGAAGAAGCAGAACGCAATTGATGATGGTCATGACATGAAATTATTTGATGAGACAATTAACCACACTTCACGAACTGATGTTGTTGATATTTTAACAGGAAATAACATTGTTGACTTTCTCGATGAGACATTTTCAAATAAGACTCATCATCACTTGTTTCAGTCGTTGCGGCATGAAACTTTTGTTGGTCGATTACCGAACGGAAGTATCTCATTTGATTGTGGTCAACTTGGTGAGGAGCAACGATCAATAAATACAATTAAGGCACTTTTTCGACTTCACGCATCGACTGGGACAAGTGTGAAGCAAATGCAGGCACTGATTGAGTCGAAGAGAAGCAAATGAGTATAAATTTTAAATTTAATGTTTTGAAAATTAACATGCTGGTGATTTTTATAGAAGCTTTTTATGTTTAAAAATTATAAGGAGTGAATCGACGCACTTTGAACTAAAGGGTATACAACTAAACGTCAATCTTAAATTTTGCCGGGAAATAAAATCCCAAGGGTACAAAACTACACTAACATTCACAAATCCCAACAAAACACTATAGATTCAGAGTTCCTGCTTAATAAATCACTTCCATCATCCATTATCACGTATAATGGACGACTACTTAAGCAATTAAACCGAATGACTATCAAAAGTTCATAGTTTATGTCTACAAAAGACGCAAACAATCTGTCAAGGAAAATTGTCCTTAATCTAAATGTTTTGTTCCAGTTCGGAGAAAAATCATTGCCACCATTGTCTCACTCAATTGACTGTCACTTTCATGTCCCTTTCATTTTTTTTTTGCTTTTTTGTTTCGTCCATTCTTTCTACATTATTATTGTGTCTGTCTTTTTTTTGCATACTAAAGAAGCATTAGTTCTTCATTTTATGGAGAAATCTCTAACAAAGTATCACTTTAAGTGGAAGATATTTTTCATCTTTTATTGTCAATGTCGTCGTCATGAATAAAATGAGTTTGTACAAAAAATAATAATAAAGAGAAAGAGAAATTATTGTAACAATAGTCAAGTATATTAGGGTAGGGGAAATATAAGAATTGAATTTGAGTGATATTTATAAAGGAAATTATATGAATAGCAAGGGAAAGGATAACTTGTTAAGACGCAGGGGTTGTAGAAGAATTTGGCGGGATTCACGCGATAAATTTTTCTTATTGTGAGAAATGTTTCCTGCCGTGGAATGCAGAAGGGTCATTAACCGTTTTAGTTAAATTCTCACATGCTCAATACAATAGAAATTAGAGCAACAAATCAACATGAACATTTTTAAGGTAGGAATCGAAATACTTTCAAATTGTTCATGGGAATTTATCTTATAAGTTTGTGCTGGTAAAATCTAGGTTGTGACACTTGAGATTGATAGTTAATTAATCTATTGCTGAATTGAGGTACTTACTTTATTTGACTTTGGAGAAGAATTTAAACTTACACTTGTATCAGTGACATCTGATATATCAAGTAATATTTTATTCATATTATCACTTTTGGAATATAGCAGCCTAGCATCCAATCCAGTTTTCGCGGAAATGACTTAAAATGTTTCTTCAACCCCCTGTTTTTATATATAAAGAAAAAGAGAACGTTTAGCCTAGAATTAAGAAGAAAATGTATAATTATGTAAATAATTTGATGAATAATGTAAAATAAATGGAAATAAAGAATAATTTATGTCGTAAACAGATTTTACAATCCTTTATTACTTTTTATCGTTTAAAATTCTTTCTTTTTAGACAACAACTTACGACTTAAGAATTATAATTTGAATGAAATTCGTGATTTTTGTCGTTTAAAAGGCGTGGAAAATTTTAATAATCAGAAATTGGATATATTCACAATGGACTAGCTTGGAGATTATAAAATCAACTCCAACAGCTTTCCCATCAATAATATATACAAATAATCTCCCATCCTTGAAAACAACAACAATCCAAATTTTCAGAGATCTTGATAAATCTTCTATTTTAAAATGTATTCAAACATTTTTTTACAGATTAAATCTTAAATAATTATCATCTAATCCAGAAAAACTCTGCCTTAAAAGTACCAACAGAATAGTTTAATTTTTAAAAAATAATAATTTTCTTGTCAAAATAAAAAGAAAAACCTTCAAAATATAATCTTTGCAATAAAAATAGGAAGAAAAATCACAAGAACAAAAGGAAAACACGAGATTAATTTGCAAATGAATAAGAAAAAATAAAAAAAAAAGCATAAAAGAAAGTTTTGAAACTAAAAGAATTAATTGGAGTGCGAAATCAAAAAACATCCAAGAATGAATAAGGGTGTAAAGTGAAAATATTTACATTTTTTTGTTAAGAAAAGAAAAACTTTTTCTATCTTTTATGGCACAAAAGTCTGCTATGGAATTATGGATTGGGGGATAAGGGATCATTGACAAATGACGTCCACAAATTACTAAACGAATTCTGCTGTTCAATACGTCTTTAAACCCTCTTTTAGGAGTCATTTACCAACAACCCTTAAAACCTTATTCTGTGAAATTTTAAGAAATCTATATCTATTGTACATTTTGTAGATAAACTTCCAACCAAACTTTTATCTCTTCCTTAACTTAATTGTACGGATGCGAATCGAAAAATAAAGTTAAGCAGAGTAAATTGCACAATTTTAATTTATTTTTTAAAATTGTTAAATTCAAATAACTTTTTTAGAGCTGACTTGCAGCATTTCTATAATATAAATGAGCTTTTTCTCATTTTTTTTCAAGTACATGAAACATCCTTTGATGCCGTGAACATTTATGTCATATCACTCATTCTTGTTCAGCATCAAAGGTATATTTTAAAGTATACGAACTTATTATTTTCTAGATTACAGAGGCAAAAACATTCTGATTTAGGATTTGTAAGTTTTGATGAGATTTGAATACTATTGAATTTGTGTTATAATTAACAAATAAGGATGCGATCATTACAAAATCGAGACTTTCAAAAATAAATAAAAATTACTCAAGTACCAGCATGTCTTGTAGCTCTCATCAAAACACCAAAAATTGATGCAATCGAAAAAGATTAAATTCAACAAGAAATTTTGTTCCCTGACTTGAGGAAAAGCAGAGAAAGATCGAAATAAAAAGAGAATGAAAATGTCTAGAACAATGTACGAAAGGATGCATTACATTTATGAAAGATTGATGAAGGGATTCATCCTATCATGTTCTTTGTTTCTTCTTCGTCGTTACTGTAAGCCGTTTCTTTTCTTTGAGGAAATCTGTAATGAGAAAAGGTATCAAGTAAATTTTGTTTGTGACTCACAAGATGATAAAGACATTATTACCTGTAATTTTCATCTGTCCTGTGTTTCCATTTTTCTTGGCACTTGCTGTAATTGGCTGTGTTTTTATTGACATTTTATTGTTCTCTTCATCTTGAGGTTCAACCTTCTTTATATGATGATAATACCTTAGTTTAGGTAGTTGGCCTTCAAAACCTTGATTTTGTGTTGCAGAATGGAGTCTCTTAATATGATTTACATGATATATTTGTGGAACTTCGTTTTTTGACACTGCTTCCCATTTATAGTTCTTCTGTACCTTTGTAGGCTTTCCTGCTTCGAAATCAAATTCCCATTGAGATGTCTTTAAATCAGTTCCGGTTGATTTAATATGCCTAGAAAGGAACAAAAATAGTATAAACTTCTTATTGATGTATTATTAATAGACTTACTCTCTCAATTCTGATTTGTTAGACATTCCAAATAGTGACTTTGATATCATTTTTGCTTTTCTAGCACGTTCTGTTTGACATTTTGATAATGATCTAGGTGATATTCTTCGTCTTGATGTGGCTGCTGTAACTTTTGTTACTAAAACTTTCTTTTCACTGGAACTCATCATTTTGTTGTTTGTTGTTGATCCTTTGTTTTCAAAACATAACCTCCAGTATTGTGAAATTAAATAAAAACAAACTTTCACTTTCTATTCCTTATCTCTATATGCAGTTCTTTTATTAAATCAAGTATCAATAAGGCACTTTTGTTAATTATATTGAATGTTTTTTCAGATTTACGCAAATTCTTATGCGCAGTTTAAGTAAACTTTATTATTTTTAATTTTTTCACAAATTTACAGGATTTTACATTCACACTCCACTTTTAAATAAACATTTATTGATTCATTATTCAGGTAAAACACTTTATATACACTAATTAACAAGATATTAATGAATTTTTTAATTTTAAAATAAATTTTGTGTTTAAAATAAAATAATCCGAACGCACATGCGAATTAGATATTTAAGCCGTTAATTTTAGCGCGAAAATATTCAAAAAAGTCCGTTAAAATAAACATGTACAATAACAATTCTGACCAAAAATTATTAAATGAGCTTAAAATTAGTTAAAATGAGCAAGAAAGTGTGTATAATATGCTTGGTTTGTGAAGCAACAACACGATTATTCTGTATGCAATCTGCTCATAATGAAGATGAACGTAGATATGAGTGTTTAACAGGAATTAAGGTAAGAAAATTGTACAATTCTAGGAAATCAATGAATTTCAATATGATTTATCTCTTATCTAGCTAAAATGTCCTGCTTTTATATGCCAAAGATGTTCTATTGATCTAGGATTAGCATCTAATTTGAAGCAGAAAGCTTTAGAATCCTCAAGATTAATTAAACCATCACTGAGCCAATTTAAAGTTCCAGTCAACAAGAACCTACCAGCAACAAACCACTCCCAAATGCCAATAAATGGTGTTACAATAACTCCAATTACTACTCAAACGTCAATAAACAAGACAGAAAAATCAGAAAATCAGAATGTACAACCATCCAGTAAAACTGCAATACCGTTAAGCAGCACCATGTCAAGAACAGACAAGATTATGAGTTCAGCAAGCATTATTTCATCTACAGTCGTAAATCCTCCAATGGATATGTCAAAAATTACTGATTTGTTCAAGACTAAGCCAAATATATCAGTAATAAAAACGAAACACACTGAAGATGAACATAAAGGAACTAAAGATCCGCCAAAAGAACAATTTCCAAGAGACGATGACGAGAAAAAACTTCCTGTGAATTACAACTCCAGAATTACAAAACGACGTCAAACAGTTTGTGCTAAAAACTTTAATGATCTTCAGGAAAATGTAAAATCGCAAGCAGGAATGAAATTAGGGAATTTTCAGCCAACGATATTAGTATCGAAAACAATAGTTAAGACTGAAAATGACAAGAAATGTGATAAGAAACCTGCTGCAATTAAGCAAGAAAAAGCTTCAAAAAAGAGACAAGCTGAAGAAATCGTCGAAAAAGACAAAAAGAAACCAAAACTGGATGAAAATTCCTCAAGTCAAGTTAATCAGTCACAAAATAAGTACACTATGCGAAACCGTGATGTTAAAACACCAGAACATAAACATGTATATTGGGTAAAATCAAAAGCTGATGGATATAATATTTTAACTTTTAAGAGCTTGGTTGAAGCCGAAAAATATTTTGAAAAACTTTCACCGGACGCAACTTATGGACCGTTATAAGACGAATAATTCTCGTCAGAAAGAAATTTATTTGATATTAATAGGTAATAAATAGTAGAATTGAAAACTACTAAGCATCTAGTCATAATTATCATTATAATAAAGGTTGATAATAAGTAATTATTGGAAAAGACTTGCTTAATTTTGATAGATTAATAACGATTTTAAAATATTTTATAACAATTCAAAACCATTCAAATTATGCTAAAGTGCTTTAGAACCTTACAAGACATTCTTCTTCTTAATTAACTTTATTACGGTCCATCTAAATAGCTTATTGCTATTTAAAGACCGTTCACAATTCCCGGTAGTTTAATTTACAAATATACACAAAGAACAATCAATAAAATCCAGTCAACTCCAAATGGTTGACAGAAAACATGCCCGCGATAAGTCAAAACAACAAAAAACCATCGCTAGGCAAAAAATTCCATCTTCAGTTGTCGATGATTCAGATCCCTTGACAGTCTTTCCTGCAATTCAACTTGTGATATTCCAAATAGATTCAAATCCCTGCTATGTCTCGACTGTGATCTGTCAATGTAATAATATGTTCTGCTGTATTCCGAAATGATCGATTCCTGTTTGTCAATGTTGATTTGTTGAAATCCAGTCAGCACCAATTGATTGATTGAACTTTCCCGCGATATATGGGGAAACACACAAAACCCATCGCGAGACAAACTCTCCTCACAATTAACGATAATCCGTTGTATTCCAATAATATTCAATGTCTAGGTTATGGCTATGATAGAACCTTCTTGTCCACGATTGTTGGTAAAACACAAAAAACCCACGTGAAGCAATTGATTCTCCTCACAACTGCCACCGATCGTGATTTGTCAATGTAATTAAATCTTTAGTATTCCGATGATGATCAATTCCGTTTTATCTAGATTATGTGCAAAACTTGCACATTTCCCTTTCCAATTTCAATTTATATCCAAAATTTAATTATATCGCGACTTTGCTGAGTTTTCTCCTTGGTATCTTTGTTCTTTGTTACTTTAAAGACAGTTCCCATAGGTTTGTGACTTATTCCTACGCGTAATTAATTAATTTTGAAGTATTGCACAATTCCACAACCTCCTCATTCGGAGGTTGGGAGAAAACTCACCTTACAAGACATTCGTAGGTCTCTCAGATTTAAAAACAACATTTTTATAGTTCTCAAACAATTTTTATCGTTAGGTCTTTAAAAATGTCAGTTCTGATCATGCTTGAATGTATTGAGCTTAGAATTTGCTTACTTTAAAAAAAATTGAACTTTTGTCTGAACAAAATATTTTGATCATGAAGAATTCGACATCGCATAGAATGGAATTCTTCTCGTATAGTACTTCCCACTCAAATTCTCACGAATTGAAATTATTTTTCGCAAAAATCCTTATCATTTGTCTTTAATTTCCAAGTTATTTGAGTTAGTCACTCAGTTTCGTTTTCATTCTTTTCGCATATGTGACTTCAAAAACATTCAAAAAATGAAGTTTGTTTTAATTTTGTATATTTTCGCCATTATTCTGGTCTGTAATGCTGGATCATTGCGAAGAGTTGTCAGAAATGAACCTGATGAAAATGAAAATGTTACAGAAAGTCCTGAAGTCGATGAAGTCGCACAACCAGGTTAAAATTTTCAGAATCTAATAAAACAGTTTAAAATATATTAAACGATGATTTTTTTAGTTTTTCAAGGAATAATACCAGGTACTATATTTGAAATTAAATGCCCTCCGGGAAGAGTTTATGTCGGCAACACATGCAGAGACGAGAAAAAAGTTGTAAAATATTATTGAATTTATACTGAAGCTTTTTAAACTGAATAAATTGTTATTTTGATGAGAATGAATTTTAAAAATTTATTTAAATGACATTTGGATGTCCTTTCTATTTCCAAAGAGTGACTTTGAGTTTGCGACTTGATACATTCTTGGAAACAAACTTGGTTAAAGTTTCTAATGTTCCATGAATCCATAAATATTCTGTAGACGAAGATAATTAAGAGATAATTTGAAACATTTAAGTGCCTTGCTGGTCGAATAGGTAAGGCGCTTTGCTCAAATTTGAGATGGTAACTCGAAGGTCGTCGGTTCGAATCCAGCCATTTCCAAATTTGTTCTTTTTCGGAAGTTTAGATACTTCGACTGCTTAATGTACGAGATCAAGCCATAATTGAGCATTTGGGCAACGTTTGATTAAGGAACGGGTCAGGAACTTGAAGTGTAGCGGGAGAAATAGGAACGAAAGCTTCAAGATTACCCACGAATGGAATATTGTTAGAACGGACCTGAAAAGTATCACGTCACGCCTACAGAAGATCGAAACGAGAGCCTTAGTTTATTTGAAACCTAGATTTAAAGATTAGAAGTTTGATCCTACATAATATTAATTCATATGTATACAAATACAAAAGTGTAAAATGTGAATTATTACCGTACAGTATGTCGTCAATAAAAGCAAAAAAGTGCAATTAAAATGAAAAAAAATAGAACTATTAAAGAACTCAAAAAAGAATCCAAAAGAATTATTCACGATCGGTACTTCCCTCTTAAATTCCAATGAAATGACATTAAATTTTTAATAAAAACAAAAAAACTTGAAAAAAGCCTTATCAGTAATTCTTTTGTAAAATGAATTAATCTCTCAAATTTACTCTCCATAGCAGTTTAAATGCTATAAAATCAACATACAACTAGTGTTATCAATCAGTCACATTTGAGATTTCTCTTAAGAGTCAATAAACAATGAAATTTATTATAATTTTGTACATTTTTGCAATTATTTTGGTCTGCAATGCTGGTATTTTGCAAAGGAACACTAGAAGTGAGGATGTAGAAAGTGAAGTTAATAATGCTACTGAACACAATCAAGTCAATGATGCTGAAACAAGTAAATGAGCTTAATAGACATTTTTTGAGAAAATCTTAATTCATTGATTCTTTTTAGCTACCCGTAAAGCAGGAGAACAAGCTATAATTGACGTAAAGTGTCCACCAGGAAGAATTTATGTTGCAAAAACATGCAGAAAAGCTGAAAAAGTGAAGAGTTTCTTCTAGATTTCTCCCAAAAGCTCTAAAATAAAAATAAGTTGCGATTGTGATAAGAATGAACATTTAAAAATACAGCAACAGCATTAAATATTTTATGTCAACCAAAGAAGAAAAAGAAAAATTATTTAAATAGCTTAGAAATTGTAAATCACATTTAATTCTTTACAATACACTTTTGTTAAGTAGATTTATAGCTCAAGTATTATGCGACAGTTTGTGCATAACGAAGATGGATTTGTCCTAAGAGTAACATTTTAGGTAACTTATTGTTGTAGAGAAATGGAAGATAAAGGAAAACAATCACCAGAAAATAAATAAAAATCTGTAACATTATTTTTGTAAGCAGATTTTGTCGTATTTAAATCTCTCCTTATTTCCTCTATTTCTCTCTTAAGATCTTGACATAAAAATTTTATGCTTCATGCTCTCTTTTAATCCTCATTGTTGGAAAAAATTTCTTCTTTTCGTTCGCAAATATAGAACATTTTTGCGAGGTAGGATTACTGATTGATGTGAGATTCCATCATCATGATTCTCGTAAATGGATTTATATAGCTTTAAAGATGCTTTTTGCAAGTGTGCTTGTTTAAAATTATATTCGGCGATGTAAATATGGATTTGCTTTATTAAAGCTCTAAGAAATGAGATTATTTTAATGGATTTTGATCGGTATAAATAGCTCTACGATTTAAAAGCTCATTGAATGATCTTGTGGAATGTAAGCTTTCACGGGAAACTTTCTCAGCTACTTATTCAAACCACAATTCAGACTACTTATGATTTGGTAATTCGGGAATCAAGAGATGAAATACATTTAAGAAACTTTTTGATTTTTTTTTGTTTTAAAAATTTTCTCATTTCGAAATGTTTTTTGACAATAAAACTAAACTAGATGCAATTTTAACACTAAAATTAGTTTATCATAGTTAAAAAAGATGGCAAGCATTGAATTGCATAGCTCAAACATCATTAGATTAAATAATTCTGCCATATCGACTTCTAAAGACCTTGTAAATTCAATATATTTTAAAATTTCTTTTATAGTTTTCAATTTTTAACTCCAACTTCCCAGAAAAATCAGAATTTATTACTATATATTACTCTGGCTAAGCAAAGATAAACTTAAATGATTATTGAAAAAATTCTGATTTCTTTCGAATTTTTTCTTTTATGAAATTTAAATACTTTTCATCTTATGCTGTACAAGAGTTTCCATTTACTTTTTAAAACATTTTTTTGAAAAAGATTTAGAAGTTGAGAAGAATAAAAGCACCTCAAGGGAAATAACTCGATATACCTTATTTGAAATTTTTTTTGCTTCTTTAAAACGAAACTTACAAGAAGCATAGAGAAAAAAGCACAAAGGTAAAAGGAGAAGATAGAAAAAGGAAATAATAGTCGTGAAATTTATGTTCTTTACTTTTTTGTCATGAGAAAAGGAGCTCAAAGCTTTTGCTAAAAGGCGTAAGAATGAACGTAAAAAATCTGAGCTCTTTATCGTCTTTAACGTTCAAATGATTCATGTTTTTTATGCGACAAACCAATGTAGATCTGAGAGCTTTACTTGAGTTCCTTCAGATTAAGATCTTTCCATTCATTCTTCTGAATTAATTGATTTTTAGCTGACAGAGGCTTATATGGAGGATTTTATGAAGCAGTTTGTTTTAGAGTTTGAGTCTGTTTAAATTTTGCACGATTTTCTAAAGAATACAAAATTTTATCAGCTGCAAACTATGCAATTTAACTTTTTCCACCTTTTTTCACCAGGATAATCTAATGTCTACAACAAATAAGCTTTCCATTAAGTTTTATTTCTAAAATACTTTTCGAAGTGAGAAATTAAAAACTTAAAATTCATAAAGTTCGTTAAAATTTACTTACTTTTGAAAAAAAATCATAGCAATCGCTTCAAAAATTCTCTCTCAACGTTGTTTAAAAGTTGTTCAAAACAAATACTTACTTTTCAATTCTGTTTATTGGCTCAAGGAATACGAAATTGAAATCTAATCGGATCTTTTTAATTCTCTTAATGTAAGTAAAATTGATAAGTAAATAGAAAATCTTGCTCTTAAATGGTTTCAAGAGGATTTTGTAGTATTTTGAAAAAGTACAAAAAAAAAATTCTTAAAAGACAAATGTATTTTTAATAAGATCACTGACGATTTTATATATTCATAAACTCTGTGTTTAAATCTAGAAAAAGGAACATCATCTTTAGTAAATGGGATTTGTCATGTCCAACATTCATTTTCTATTATCGTAATGACAATTTTCTCTCTTACTTCCATTTTTTCATGTCCTTTAAAAAAAAATCTCGTCTTTAGAGACGCATAGACACACGTACATATATCGAGATATAAAACGGAAATAGGGCTTAAAAGAAGGTAGGAAAAAAGTCCTTCCATGGAAGATAAATGATGAACAATTTTATGTCTCATTTTTCATCTCTAAATTATCGATCTTGAAATATGTTAAAGCAAAATGAAGAAGAGACGATGAAAAAAAAAAGTAAAATAAAGTTTTTCTTTCCTTCCTATTCATGCGATACTTTCTAAATCTCTGCACAAGACGCTATGTCGATTTGTTGACTTTGGGGGATAAAAAGGTGCCAATGATTTCGACAAATCGATTTAAAGTTTTTTTTTCTAGTCGACTCTTATCCTTCATAAATCTTCTCTCTTGTTTCTAGAGGGTGAAAATTCACAGTTTAGGATGAAAAATTTAAATTCCTTAAATGGATCGTCGATTTCACATTTTAACATGCATTAATCGAATGGCTGATTTTAACTTTAATATCATTGTTTGATGTTTTAAAAGATTTTAATTAAGAAGTGGAAGCAACCAAAACAAAGGTTTGTTAAAAATGTCTAAAACTGATCTGCATTTAGTTTGCATTTGCTTTAATAATTAAAACAAAAGCTTTTACTTGCAAGCAACTTTAGATTACAATTCAGGATTTATTACTTACTTGATTCTTCATTATTATTTTTTCTCTGATCTTAATAAAACCAGAACAGTTAGAATTCATTCAGTTTAAGACAATAATTGTAATGCATTGCAAACAATTGAGAGTTACAAGAACAGGATGAAACAATATTTTCACATAAAGGAATTGTATTTACTTTTGTGATATTTTACTTTATTCTCCCCGTTATTCCTTTAATAACACTTTTATTAAAAGCATATTGAGCATATTCAACATTTTATCTCCTATGCAAATAGAAAGCTTTTCCTTTTCTTTTCAATTCATTTTTATGGTTCTAAAGCGAATAAAGTCAGGAAGAAGAAAGGATTTTACTTAAAACCTGGAATAAAAAAGAAAAGTGTGAAGACGAAAAATAAAAATAAAACCGTTTTGCATCAGTTCACATCCACCCTCAACTTTATCGTTTCTTTCTCTTGTCAACGATTCATAAAAAGCATTTTACTTTATTCTTTGTTCTTTGTGTAAAGTTATTCACGAAAGAATTCACATTTCATCGTTTTTATTTCTGATTTTTTTTAGTGGAACAAAAAACTATGATGTAATCGCGAAAGGTAGTCACGTATTGCTTCATACAAATTGTTTGAATTGGTGGATCTGGAGATGGCAACCTATTGGATTAAAGGTATTGTAATTTTTTTTTGAAGATTATTAAAGATGGAACTGCATTCTAACCTAATTAAGGCTGTAGAAAGTTTAGGAATTTTAGGGATCAGCATCTTCTCAATTTATTAAAAGTAAGGTTGCGACCTTTGTTCTCACTCAAAATTGCTGTATTGGCATTATACTACTTCAGAGCTATTCCAGCCTACCAAAACTGTTCTCCCAAATCTGTTAAAAATTACGTAAATCTTCAACTCTATATCTACTCACAACTTTCTCGAGTCAGCACTCCTCTTTATACTCTATATACCATTAAATTATCATGGTAAGTACATAAAGGATTTACAATAATGAGGTTAGTAAATTCTTTCTGGCATTCAGCATTCAAAGCTGAGGAAAACATTCAACTGAAGCACAAAATCGCGTTGTGAGAGCAAATCAAAGTAAAAAATAGCATCAGGGTATATAGAATAAATTTTCTTTATTTACTCACGAGCCAGCAGAAACGAGGGAGAAACATAAAAAAAAATAGAATGAAGGCGAAAGCACTTAATTGCTTCGAATGCAAATATTTTAAAATACTTCTTTCTCTTCCTTCCTCCATCATCGGATTAAAATGCAAGCATTGGCATGATGAAATGAAGAGAAAAAAAGGGTTTGTTGGATAATTAAAATTAGTTTTATACTCAATTTTAATGAAGTGTCTGGATTTTCTTGTTTGTTCACGTCCTTTCACATAAATTTTTATGATTTTATAGGCACGAAATGTTTGCACACTTGTTTGTGTTTGTTTTAACGTTATTTAATTGCTGTACGTTGAAATTTATGAAGGTGAATGAGAGCCTGTCCAGTTAATTTAATGTCTCATGTTTAATTAGAGGAATTAATTTTTTCATGGATTTTCCTTTTTAATCAGTCTGATGAAATGTTAAGAAATTTAAGATACACTTGTTGACACGGTTTGGGGAATGGAAGAGTCTTAATGGCTGACTAAAGTTTAAGTTTAGAGTTTTAAAAAGGAAAGTAACTGCAAATTATCATAACTTTCATTTGAGATTTAAATAATATTTATTGAAACATAGTTTTTGCCCCTTTTCATCGAAATATTCAGTCTGTTCACGAACTCCGAATTTAATTACAATAAATCCGTTTGGCATATATTTATCAAACCACAATTACAAAACACGTAAACCATTTTTAATACGGATGATCTAATAAGTCAATTAAGCTGTGTAATAACGTTAAAGAAACCCCTGAGAATTTCCTGTAAAATTTCAAATTTTCCAATATTGACTTTAGCTTCATTGTTTCACAGGAAACAAAAGAATGATATTAGCAAATATGAACTTAAGGCCTACATTTCATCGAAATCTCATAAATGTGTGTATTGTTATTTTAACAAAGCATAGAATGTTTGAATAACAATATTTATTTAAGTATCATCATCTTGATTGCTAATTCTATCTCAAATATTTCT